AAAGAACCAAAAAACAAAATAGTAAGATCACAAGGAATTTGGCTAAATAATAGAATGAAGAAGTCATTGATTGGAAAAAAAACAAAAGAAATAGTTAGTTAAATAGTCAAGAATCTCAGATATAAAAAAATAACAATGAGCCAAATTGCATATATAAACAATACAGTAATTATCTTAAAATTAGAATATCTGCTATAATTAATGAAAATAATGATAAAGACAATTAACAAAGTACATTAACTCCTAATATGCTTGGCAAAACACAAAGACAATATGATGTATATAGCAAATAATTGCATAATAAAACACAAAGACCTTAGCAACTGCAAATTATTAGAGTAAGAAATAATAATAAAATAAATAAGTAGTATATTTTTCAAACTGAACAAAAAATATAACTTAAATGAACTAAAAAACTCAGAATAACTTAAGATTGCCAAACTGCAAGCTTAACAGAAGATATATGGAATGCAAAAACAGAATCAGAGAAGAAGAAATATTGGAAGAACAATCTAGCATGTCAAACAATAGCCAAAGCAAGTATAGGCATTAGAGCAGAGAAATGCTTATAGAAGGTATATGAATACAGAATCAAAATAAGAAACATAATAGAAGCAAAAACATAAAAAGTGAGCAGTATCAAAATAAATAACTGAAGATTAATCTATTTGAATTAGCTGATAGATACAAAAAGCAAAAAGCTGATTATATAAAAACAGCTTAAAAGTCTTTAAAGAAGGTTATATAAAAAGAAAAAGTCAAAATAGTTTAGCAAAATTGAAGAAAAGATGCTAATAACACAAGTAAACAGAAAAGTATATGATCAATACAAAGCAAACAATTATAATACACAAACACTAAAGATTACATGAACAAAGATGTTAGAAGACAAAAAAAGAAAAGAATAGATCATATACAGGCCAAAGAATAATCAACAATTAGACAAAATAGCTAAGAAAAAAGATAAAGAAGTTTTAATTAAGCATTGGCTAATGTACAAGGAAAAAAAAAAAACATTTACAAAAATAAGTAAATGAAAGGCTGTAAGGATATACAAACACAAATGATTGATAGATTTGAAAAGTGAATTCAACAAGATTATAATATAAAAGCCATTTTAGAATCAATAATAAAAAAAAACAATAACAGAATCAATATAACAATAAACTAATTAAAAGAAAATAAAATAATAAAGAAATAGAGAAATGAAGAAAAAGAATTAGTTAAACTTAAACAAGTAGAAGAACTAGAAATAGAAATAATAAGAAACCAAGAATTAGACAATGTGCTCATAGAATGATTAATAAAAATCATAATAAAAACAAAAAAAGAAACAAAAAAAGATATGTTTTTTATACAGATAAAACATTATATAAAAAAGGTAAAAAAAATAATATAGAAAAAATAAATATCAGATAAGTACAAATAAGAGAGTAAGTTAACTGATTAGAGAAAGGGGTGGCACTAAGCCTAAAGAGATGATTATTAGCAACATTAGCAGAGCTAGTAACAATATAGACAGCAATTTTAACAGTATCTAAGAAAAAAATATAAAAATTTATACAAATAGCAATGCAGTAATAAGAAACATTAGTAAAGCATTAAAAATACAAGAAATAAAAAAATCTTAAAAAAAAGAATACAATGTAAATATTAAATATTACAGAGTTAGTTAAAAAAAAAAGTCAAAATAAAATTAATTAAAGTTAAAAATCACAATAAAAACAGATGAAATGATAGAGCAGATCTTTTAGCAAAAAAAAAGGCAAACTATAAAGAAGTAATCTAGATAAAAAAACTTAAATATGAAGAAATAGAATACTAACTAGAATGGGAAAATAAAAGAATAGATATATTTATAAGACTTCTCTACAAAATAATTGTGAATACCAAAATAGAAACTAATTAGAAAAATACAAAACTGATTAGAATTCTAAAACCAAAAACAGAACATGCACTTTATAACTAATCAAGTTTCTAAAAGAAGATAAGTAGAACAAAAGAAGTACATTGTACTTTAAGAAAACTAAACACAAGAAGAGCCACAATAATCAAGTGTATAATAAATAACCTATTAATACTAATAAAACCAAATAAAAGAAGACCAAAAATATATACAATAACAAAATATCAAATTTGTTAAAATAGCAAAAATGAACTCAAGAACATTTAACAAGCTGTAATGAATAAAAAAGTTTGTAAAAATGAATACAAAAAGTTTTAATATCAACAGTATAGAATAGACTTAAAAATGAAAAAAAAACCTAGAATTCTAATGCAAATATTCTACAAAGCACTATTCAGTAAAACAGAAACAAAAGAAGTTATAAATAAAAGATTGCTAATAAAAAAACCAACTACAATAGAAATAGAGAAAAAAATTGATAAGCTGTTAAATAAGCAAGTAGTAAAGAAATGTCTTAACATAATAACAAAAACAGTATGAAATATCTTCTATAATTAAATATAAAAAATCTAAACTGAAAAGATACAAAATAAGAAAAAGAAGTTAATATAATAAGTAAAATAAAAAAAGGTAATTAGATAGAAGAAAAACTTAACAAAAAAAAAGATAAGATAATAAAAAAAAAGAAAAAAAAAAGGAAATAAAAAAGAAAAAAAATAAAAAAAAAACAAAATAAAAAGAAAAAAAAGCTTGAAAGACAATATACTTGTCACAAAAAAGAAAAGACTCTTTTGGTATAGCTTTAAGTAGTTAGATGAATAGTATTTTTAACTAAGATAATAAACAAGTTGCACTTAAGTACCATTAGAGTAACTAAGTGATACTAGACTTAAATATTAGGAAATTCTATATAATTATATATGTATTTAGTTTCAAGAACCTTAATAAAGTATTAACATAACTGCTTAAAACAAAAAAAAATTTAATAACTTAATCACAAATTAATCATAAAATTTCTAAGCAAATTTGCCTAAAAAACAATTTAAAAGATATATTTTAAGCACAAAATTTGAACATGTACCAATGTTAGTAATTTACTATTATTATTATTTTTTTTTAATTTTTTTTTTAAAGCTGATGTTATTGGTAGCTACCACTTTTATTTGTGTTTTTGGTCAATGCATTACATATAACTTGTACAAGGTAAGTATACAACTAGCCACATATGTAACTTTTAGTTACCTATTTAAGTAGTCCACCCAAGGGTTCTACACTAGCTGCCATGCCTGTAACCTACTAAACACTCTAATCCTTATACTACACTCAGATAAGTAACATCTGATTCCTGTACAACTAAGTGTTGTCTAACCCAACATTTAGCTTTCCCTTTTTGTACATCTGTCAAGCTATTAAACATTCCAGAATATGTCATCTAACTTAAGGTTCTGGAGTACCCTTTTGTTAACTACCTACCTACTCTACAGAATATTAACAAGGCTAGCTCTTGTAAAGTTCACCCAAACCCTAGCATCTACTTCACAGCATATCCCTAATACTTATAGTATACCCTTGCTTTGACTCTAGACTCCCAATCCAGATAATCTGATAGGACTATGACCTGTTCTTGGTATATTGAGCTGGCTCGATATTCTTTTTTTCTGGTTTGGTTCTAATAGCCTGGTTGGTGATACCTCTCACCTAAGGTTCTTGTCTGTCTGGCTCCTCCATATTGGTATTTGTTTCCTAGGTCTAGCCTTTACAGTAGTATCATTAAAAATCTGTGTTATTTTTCTACTTGGGTTTTTCCAAGTAGGCTTTGGTTTCTCAGTTCTATAGATTTACACAGCCACAAGAACTTATTTTAGGTTTGCACTGCCTGGTACCAGTTTGCATTTTTCTGTATAACCAAGGTTACACAGATGCCCTGTGACCTGCCAGTCATGCTGATGTGACTATAATTACAGGTATCCTATTCCAACTGATCGACAGAATGCTATCACCATAATACTGTCTATGTATTACATAGGTGATTATTTAAATTTTCACTGTTAGTGGGTTTTGAACTCACAATCTACTACTTGGAGGGTTGATAACTTATCCACTTTACTAAGTCACCACACTCCCAATTTACTATTATTCATAATAATTTATTAAAAAAACAGATAATGTTAAATATCTAAAACATAGTTAAAAATAAAAGTAAATTGATAATTAATGATCACACACAATATCTAATCTATTACTATTCTAAATATTCTTTATTACATTTTGGATAATTATTATTTATAAAGAATATTACAAAAGAAAAGTATATTCTTAATTTATTACAACATTTGCATATACTTATATATATATTAGACTTTTAATCATGTTATATAACCTGAACTTTAAAACCTCCATAGCTCACTTACAAGATTTTTTTTAACACATAACTATAGCCAATTATATTGAAGGAGTAGATGAATATAAAAATTATGTCTTTACTTTAATGATACAGTATGATTAGTATTATAATTAAAGTTAGTATTAGAATATGGCAGAATTAAGAGATTAGATCACATGTTGCTATGTTTGTAGTATTGCAAAAGTCAGACACATATACCCTCATGTGATGTATCCTTTATTAGTTTGAAATACCTGATCATGACTTATACCTGAGTATTATATATATCTTTTAATTATACTATATTATATACTACATATAATATAGACAAAATATAAGCACAATGACATAATTATTGTAACTATAACGAATTATGATATTTTTTGTCATAATTCATTATAACTACAATCAATTATAGCATTATGCTTATACTTTTAGTTTAGTTTACTAGCAAAATAAAAATAAGATCAAAATTTATTTATTGATCAATAATATAATTTAATATAGCAAACAGAATTTTAATTTATAATATATTACAAGTATCATTTTTTATTCTATTACTAATATAATATATTACTTTATTTTGAACATTAATAAAACACACATATTGCATTTGATAGTAAGCAAACTTTATATAGCAAACAAATTAGTTTTATTTAAAACAAAAAAAATTTAAAATTTAAAAAAAAATTTAAAATTTGATCATTATTTCTAATTATTATCACATCTGGTTTTTTTATACTCTTTATTATTAATATCATTATGTTTCTCAATATTTTCTTCATTTGCATTTTTCAAGTCTTTATCCAAAGCTTTATAGTCAAACACTAAATCATCTTCAAACCTATCTATTTTTACTGAAATACTACAACACTTAAATGATTTTCTAATTAAGTAAGAACTAATCACATCTTATGATTCTTTTACACATTGAGCTAAAGTGGAATACAATAGTTTTTAAATATGTCTAGTAGATGTAAATTGATAAAAATTGTTGATTATTCATTGGTTATAACAAAAACACATTTATTATTTAAATTTTTATTAATGTGCTTTATAAATAATAAATATTTTAATACATTATATTTTTTTAAAAAATATTTGTTTATTGCAACATCAAAAGGTTGCAATTTACTAGTTAGTTCACCCAGAATAACTACAGTATAAGTATTGTTTTTATAAAATTAATGTCTAACAGGGTCTACAGTATAATCTCTAAACAAATCCAAAATAAAGAGAGATTGAGGCTTTCTAATTTACTGCACTTAGACCATATATTATTGATGCAATATTTCATTTTCTCTTTATTGCATCACTTTTTTCTATTTACATAAATAACAACACCTTCAGAAAAAATTTCACAAGAAATGTTCTTTAATTTAAAAATACATACTGCTGAAAGCTTTCTTTCATTAGCAAGATATCTTAAAATTACAGTAAAAGAGGTCTTTTTATTTTTAGTTGTTCAGATACTTATTTTTTTGGCTCTACATTTCTCAAGAGTTACTAAGTAAAACAAGTCAAATAACAAAGATGTTTCATTTATATTTCTAATATATTAGATAACATAATTTTATTGACAGTGTTTAAACAAAACTAAGCTTAAAAACTTATTTTGTTTGCTAATAAGATCTTCAAGAAGATGCTGTAAAATTGTTATGCATCAGCAATTTGATAACTTATTACAATACAAAAATCTACTGAGCCAACTATTAGAAAACTTAAGATTATCAATATTAGAATATGCATTCTTTATTTTATTAGTTTGAACCAATGTTTTCACCTTTCTAATAATCATATTTTGCATAACAACAGACTATTTTCTATAAAGCATATTAATTTATTTAACTAGATTTCTTTCTAAAAAAAGATACTGAACTGGTTAACCAAGATTGAGTATTAAAAGATAAAACACTACATTTAAAAGTTCTTGCTTCTTATTTCATCAATCATGAACTAATTTAGATTCAATATCAAATTATCTTGCAGTTGCTTTTACATTTTCAATATATTTAAAATAATAAATCACTATAAGCTTTTCATAAACACTTCAGTTATGCCAAACCTTACTAATAACACAAACTTTTTTTTAATACTTCTATTTTATAAAACTATTTTTTTTTAACATAATCAGAAGAATTAGTATGATTTAAGTTTTTATTTAAAAAAAATATTGCACAATATATGTAATAGGATGGGGTCCTGTAGCCTAGTGGTCTAGGCACCCCTCCCTTCACAGACAAGATTGACAGTTCAATTCCAGCTGGAGGCAAAACTCTGTAATCTACAGAAGCATATGAATGTACACGAAGCCCTGTGGCTTAAGTCCATGTGAATAGAAGATCAGTA